GGGGAGGGAGCGGGGCGAGGAGCAGAACGTGTCGCCCCGCAGAGCTCCCTGGTGCCGGCCGGGGGGGCTCGGGCGGCAGCGGCGCCTCCTCCGCAGCCCTTGGGGGGCATTCCAGGCCCGAGCGGGTTGGAATCGCTGCTCGGGGCTGCGGGGAAAGGGCAGCTCCCAGCTTGGCTGGGGTGCCCGGGGAGAGCGTCCCTGCCTGGCAGCGATGGCACTGTGTGGCTGGAGGCAGGAGAGGGGATGGGGCAGGCAGGAGATGGGCTGTTTTGTTGCATGATGCTCTAGGGGTTGTCCTGGAGCTTTGGCTCTGGGTGCTGCCCCTCGGCACACGCCGTTGTTTGCACCTTCTCTGTTCCTCCTCTCTTGCCATGGACCTGCAGGCAGGTCATGAGCAGGGGGAAAAGCACCGTCCCCTTTGGAAGGACAGCAGGTAGCAGCACCCTTTGGAATCAGGTCCTCATAGCCATTGTGTGGGATCCCCAAATCCAACCTAGGGGCACTTCTGTCCTTCCACAGCCTTGCTGCGGGCAAAAGGGGCTCAGATCATTTCTTCACGACGGGCATGGGAACGGTCTTGGCTGAAAACTGAGCAGGCTGGAACCAGGCTCTGTCCAAAGGACCACGCGTCGCCAAAGCGGTGACATCTGTGAGGGCCGATGGGGATTAGAGTGGAGGCCCCCGGGTGTTAGGAAAACCTCTCGTTGCATTTGCAGCGGAGATTAAGGTCAAAATGCACTTGTGTTTTTGGCTGAGGCACTGGGAAGTGCTAAGCTGCCTTTCTGCTCCTCTCCTTTCCTCCGCGGGTAGCAGGTAGATAAGGAGCGGCTCCGTGTGGGCTTTGCTCCCCTCTTGAATCCAAAGAGCTCTTGAAATGCTGAGCTGGGCTCCAGGCGGAAAAGCTCAGGTTTCCTGCGCCCTGGAGTTCTGGGGAGGAGCAGGACGTGTCCTCGGCTCCCTCGCGCGCACTCCTGCTTCTCCTGGTCTGCTTTGTGTTGCCTTGGAAAGGCTGCAGGTCCGTGATGGACGTGTGTGGGCGTCCGTCCTGAAATGGGGAAAGTTGGGTCTGTCCTCCAGAGCTGACCTGCTCCGGGTGCCTTGGTGTGAGCGGTGCGGGTGGGAGCAGCAGCCCGGCCCGGTGCCTGCCGGGTGAATCCCTACCCGGGTCGCGCAAAGGCTGGTGCCGGCAGAGAGCCGGTGGTTGCCACCTGCCTACGGCTTCTCCCCAGGCAGGAACCAGCAACACCAACAACTTCGTGACAGCAAGGAAAGGCTTGGAGGGGTCGGCTGCACAACTACTACCTCAGAGCCCTTCTTTGCCCGCTTTGAGCCACAGCAGAGAGAGCCCAGCTCATTTCACCCGTTAGGAAAGGGAGCTGAGCTGTGACTTGCCGGGGCGCTTGACGCAGCCCAGGCCCCAAGACGCGGGCAGCGACAGCGATTCCGTAGCTGCTTTCCCCCATCTCGCCCCCACCAGGGGGTCAGTTCTGCCGGGTTATTGACCCAGCGGGTGAAAGAGGAGGGAGAGTGATCGTGGCCCTATTCTGCAGTGGCTCTGCTGCCTTCTTGCAGCCTCTTACAGAGTTTTACTGCCCTATTTCCCCACCCCTTGTACTGCAGCAGGATTGTTTCTTTTCCGGCCTTTTTGGTCCGGTAGGTCTGCCGTGGCAATAGGAAGGAAAAGAAGAAAATGGCAGCAGGATCCGCGGGTGACCCCGTGGCCTTGCTGATCCTGGATGCTGCCGGCTCCGTTTGCCAGATGGGACTTCCTGAGCGCGGAGGCATTGAAAGGTTCCGGCTGCTTCTCTAAATGCTTCCAGGAAAGCTTCCCTTAGCCACATTTTTAACGTTCACCCCCAGCACTGCAAGGAACAGGGAAACACAGAGGCCCTGCACGCTCCAGCACAATCCCGGCCGCTGTCCTGGGAATGGCAGCTTCTCTAGCAGCGGCCGGGCGGCAGGATCCTGGAATCGGAGAGCCAGGAAATGGGCTGGCTGCGTGTGCCGCCCGAGCGCGGCAGCCCGTCTTCCAGCGATGCGGATCTTCGAGTCGGCGGGGAGAAGAGTAGTAGCGGTGAAAAAAGCAACGCCTGCCGTTTCCAGGCCGTGTTTCTATGGAAACAGGACATTGGGAGAGCAGAGACGCAGTCAGGGCGCTGAGATGATCGCCAGCTCCCAGAGCACATGGGCTTTTTGCAGCTCGCTCAGCCCTCCGCGCCGCGATGGCAGCCGGGGACGCTGCCTCTTGGGGACAAGGCAGTGCGTGAAGGGGGGCAGCGCGTGGGATGCTGAGGCCTGGATCTCTGCCGATCCTTGGGCAACGCTCATCTAAACTGCGCCGGTGGGAAAGCGCTGGCTCAGCCCAGCCCTGCCGGGCGTCCAGCACCGTGCGGAGCTGCGTTCAGCACCGTGGAAAGATTTGACTCCTCATGCTGCTGCTGGGGCCCAGGTTTTGCAGGGGCTGGTCAGGCCGGGAGGACGTTACTGGTTTCCTTAGGTCTCAGTCACCAGTTGAGCTGCTGGCTCCTTCGCTCCTGCAGCCTCTTGCAAGTAAGGAGGTAGGAGGACTTTTGTTTTGCTGGCTGTGGTGGAGCTGACCCGGGTAAATCCGTACCGCTCAGGAGGTGCTTCCTCCGTCTGTGGTGCAGTGCAGGGTATTTCCTGTGTGATGGAGGAACTTGGGGCTTGTGTTATCGCTGAGCTCTTCTCCCACAAGCTGGTGCTCTTCCCTATTCTTCTGTGTCCTGGTCTGTGCTGCTTTGTGGGAAAATCAGTCTTATTTCGCAGAGCTCAGTATTGAAGTGAGGTAGAAGTGTCTGTGGTGGGTAACCTGACCTGCCGGTGAGTCGCCCAGCGTCCTCTTGCAAGGTGAGCAGCAGTGTCTGAGGATCACCTTGAGGCTCCACGTAGCCCTCCTTTCCCGAGGAAGGTGATCCCCGCGGGCCGGAGCGAGCAGCCTGCCGGCGCCCTGCCTCGACGTGGACAAACACGGAGCGTTCCTCAGGAGAGCGGACAGAGGCCTGTGGATGGAAACCCCTAGGCCTACAGGCACAGGACGCAGGTCTGACCCACAAAGTGCTTTCCTGAAGTTTGTCCTTCTCCCTCTTCTGCATTGAAAGGAATATTTCTGTGCATGGCCAGAGCCTGAAAAAGCTCCTTGCCTCTTGACCCAGGTAGGAGTAGCCCTACGTTCCCCAAGGTGCCGCCTTCTCTCCTTCTCCAGTGAGCAAAAGCTGATTTTCTTGGCACACTGAAGAGCTCAATAAATTTGGCAACAATGAAGTTTTCTGGGTTTGCACAGTGTTCTTGTTACCCAAGACCTGCTTGACATTTTCTCAGGGACCCGACAGCCGTGTTCACAGCGGCAGCAGCAGCCCTGGCGGCCAGACCGTGTCCGGCGACGGGGAGCCGCAGGAGAGGCGCGGAAGCAGCAGGGACGCGGTTGCTGGTAGGGGAGCAGAAAAAAGATTTCTGCAGCCTGATTCATTGCCTTTTCCTGCCTTGAGATAAATTAGCAAAAAATTTAATATCTTTCCGAGCCTGAACCTGACAGCAGAAGTTTTCGTCTTGCCTTCCCCAGGGCAGTTCAAAATCTTAATCCTTAATTTTTGGGGTCTAATTCCTTTAGTAAATAAGCGGCTGCAGAAGCAGTGCTGAAGCGCTTCTGTGCTGGGGCTGGTTTGGGCCGCTGTGCTCCAATTTGCTATTTCCAGCTGCTTGTCTCCGCGCTGGTTCTTCTGTGCTTGGTTCTGGCTTCTCTCTAACGCAGCCCAAACCATGTCTGCGAACTAGAGATGACGGGAGTTGAGGTTACTGGCTGTGAAGGCCAATTGGAAACGTCTGATCGATTGGCTTTGATCTGGCTTGAAGTCCAAGCTTGCGGATTGTCCTGACTGGTGCTTTCTTTGCTGCTATGTGCCTGCCGAGACAGTGCTGAGCTCTCAGTTCTCTCCAAGTGATGAAGGAGGGGGTTCTGCTCTGGGTGCTCCTTCTGAATATCTGTCAGACCCTGCTTCTCCTCCACCTGCTTCCTCTGGGGCTCTCTGTGCAGCAGGACACTCGCACACAGGTATTAGCATTGCGTGAACCCGATATCTATGTACCGCACAGCAAAACCCGTGTGTTTCTTGCTCTGAGAACACACGAGTTTTGATTTTAGGGTTGGGAAGATGAGCGTCGAGCTGCGAGCACCTTCCCCATGTGGGGCTGGCACTGCCATGGATCAGTTGTGCTCCATGTGGGGCGCAAAGAGCTGCTGCCGTAGAGCAGGGGCGATGGACGGGTGCTTGGGCTTTATCTGCACATCCACATCGGCTTTCGTGTGCCCTTGCTGCAGAGCAGCAACCCGGCTCGGGATGCACTTCTACCCTGCGCTGATCTCGGTGGAAAGCTCATTAACCCCAAGCTGCTTCTCTCTTTCTCTTGGCCGTTTCATTTTGATACTTCGAGTTCTCTGGGGCTCGAGGTGATACATTGTGTTCTCCCGGCTCTGTGTCGTGCCTTGGGAGGCGGGAAGCAGTCGCCCTGGGGGTGGCGAGGGCTGGGACACCTCGGGGCTCCCACGGAGTCTCCCGCTGGGACGCAGCCGTGTGGCGCTTCCCGGCCGTGCTGTGTGGGGAAGGGGCTGACTGGCTGCAGTCGCTTTGTGACTCCCCCTGCTCGTGGCCGTCCTGGGCCGTGTTCGCCCAGGGGAAGCTTTCTTGGCTGACGTGAAGTTCTTTGCACGCGTTCTGCTGCGGGGAGCCCTGTTGCTCTGGGTGTGCAGGGAGGCGAAGGAGGCCGTTTGCCGTGGAGCTCCTAGGAGCAGCCAGTGTGTGAGGAGACCTTGCCCAGAGGAGCATTGACACAAAACACACCCGGAGACTGTGCCGGGTCCCTTCCCAGCCTCCAGGCCGCTGGAGGCTCCTGCTGCTGGCTACCATCTGCGGAGCTGCGAGGACAGGAGGAGAAAGCAGCTTCCTGCTGCTCCTGGATCCCGCCGCCTGCGAGATCCCCACGTAGCATTTCCCTGTGACGGGAGAGGAGCCGTGATGCTGCACGGGACGTGGAGGCAGAGGAGACCTGGTGCTTCTGGCTGGTAGCACATGAGGCTGCGTAATCATCAGCAGGGGCTGTACTCTGCTCGCCTGTGTGTGGGTGACACTCCCGGTGTCACCCCTCTCCGTAGCCGGCTGATCCGAGCTGGCGTTTTGGTACTTCTGCAAGCAGCAGCAGCCGCACAAGAGCCGGCCCCCAGACCTGCAGAAACTGCTCTCGAGTGTCTCCAGCAGCGTTGCTGGCAGGGCGTGCTGCTCCCCTGGGTCTGCAGGGCCTTGGCTGCTGTCAGCTCGCAGAGCAAACTGGGCCTGGGGTTTTACGCATAGGTCTGCTCAGCTGCAAGAGGAACCCCGAGCTGCTCCGCGGCTGGTGCTTGTGCTTCTGCTGAGGCCGGCTGCTTGTTTGCATTGTCCTGCTAGGCAATTCCACCAGTGAATATTGTGGACTCATTTCTTGGTCTGAGAGTAGTGCTTCATGAGGAAACTTCTGTTTAAATAGACAGGAAAATAATCTGGAGAGCGAGCTTGGCTGGAAGTGGGAAGAGGGCTGAGAGATCCTTTCAGAAAGAGCAGGATGACTAAGGGGCCTCACCCCGCAGTGCTGATCTGCTCTGTGCTCTGCTCTAGCTCTGATTCCCCATGCTCTTCTTGTGCTCTCATCCCTGAAACACCCCTGAAACAGAGAATCTCACCCCTGACAGAGGATCTCACCCCTGAAACAAAAAGGTCATTTGTGGAGGCACTACTAATGCTGCAGAGCAGCAGTTCTGAAGCTCTGATGTTCCTCTGTTTTGAGGGACAATTTTAAATCTTCATCAATCCCAAAATAGGGGACTACAAGGATTTTAATGGCCTTCCTGGGACCTTTCTTTTGTGCTTTTCTAACCCTGACTTTCCACTGTTTAACAAAAGTTTTCCACTCCCATGTTGCTGGGTGAAAAGGAGAAGGAGCGAAGCTGCCAGGGGTGGGTTGCAGGCTACACAAGAGCTTTCTTTTTTTCCCAGAAATCTTGAGGAGCTACTTGAAATGCTAGGGCCGAACACTCCGGTTAAGGGGAGTGCTTGAAGTGGCTGTTGGCTTTTCCCTTCCACTCGGGCAGCAGTAGTCATCTCACAGGACTATTTGCCAATATGCCAATGTTTAATGAGCACGAGGACGCTCGGGGTGTCGCCTCGTGGCTCGGGCCAGCTCCCTGGTGTCGTGACCTGCGTATTCGCCTCGCTGCGTTGGGTGTGTGTCAGCGCTTTAGTAATTACCACGGCTTGGATGTTTACGGGTTGGATTTCCACACAGCAGCCTCTCCTTTTTAGGCGCTTTGTGGTGTCATTCAGGTCACCCAGATGCCTGGGAGCTGATGACGCTGGAAGCCAAGAGGCCACTGGCTCTTACTGGCTGCCCAGAAGAGCTGGTTTTGTTGTTTCAGTTGCAACACCACTCAGGAAGCAGGGTTGGCCACTCAGATTTGTTATGGACACATTTGGTCTGTGATGCCAGCTCTCTGCCTTGGGGTAGGAGGTCTTCTAGTGTCAGAAGCTCTGGAGTTTTCCTCCTGGGCTGGTGGTGGGTTGGCGAGCAAGGGTCTCGGGCTGGTGAGATGGGCCTTGCTCTGGTCTGTCAGTGGTGCTGAGCTGCTACAGAGGTGCTGATGGGCATGGAGTGGCCCTGCCCATCGCAGAGGACAAATCTCCTTGTTGGGAGCAGTGAGGAGCACGCAGGGCTTCCAGATTTGAGTCTGCCCTTGGGGCAAAGGCTGCTGAGCATCAGATTGGATGCTGAGGCACAAGCAGGTGTGGAGAAAACTTCCTGGCTGATACTGCCCTGGGACCTGGAGCAGGGTTTTCCGGGGAGTTTGGGGAATTTGGGGGTGGAATTTGTTAGTCTCTGTTGTTCACTGCTTTTGGTTCTGCTTCCTAGAGTCCTGCAGAGTGGTGGTGCTCCCCTGCTGATGGAAGAATGGTCGTGCTCAGGCAGTTTGGGCTGCTTCTCTGGAAGAATTATATTCTGCAGGTGAGTTGTTCCCCGTGCTGGTAGGAGGGGAGCTGCCTATGTCATTCCTCAAAAGTAACCCCTCCAGAGCTGTTCTGGCATCTGGATTCCCTGGAGAATCTCCTCCATAGGCCCAGGATGACTGTGTGTCGGGAGGGATCTTTTGTGCCAGGTAGAGATGTGCAGGGTGTGTGCTCAACTACTTTGCAGCCCTGTCCCTCAAATGCACAATTTATTGGTTCTCCTCTTTCAAAATAGGGCTGTTTCTTTCTATTGCTTATCGCAGTCTTCAGAAGCAACTTTTAGAGGCCCGTGGGCTGCCTTTAAACCACCTGTGTCCTGACATCTGCTCTCGGTCCCGCAAGAGCAGATGCCAGGAGTATTTAGGAACCTTAGGGCTAACTTGCAAGCCAGAATTTGCTTTTGCATCACAGTGCTGCCTCTCTCGGCCTGGTGCCCTGCAGCATCTTGCCTGCTGCAGAATAGGCTGCAGCTCCTCTAAGTAGCCAGCAAATGTCCTTCAGCAGATCCTGCAGACTCGCAGCCACCTGGAGCCAGCCCCTCGCAGAGGGCAGGGGAGAGGGGGAGCGGGTGTCTTGGCACAGTCTGGATTTACAGGTTCAATTACAGCCCCGCAGCTCAGCACAGCGCTCATTCCGGGCAAGCAAATGGAAGAGCTGAGGGTTTGTACCACGTCCTTTTGGAAAAGAAGTAAAGCTCCCTAGTTATTAGCAGGCCTACTTAAAAACGAGCTCAAGTGCATGTGATTTGAGCTGACAGAAATGACCGCTTGGTAGCGATGACTGTAGATGAGTGTCCCTGTCGCTGCTAAAATAAAGGAGCTTAAATGACTTCTGCCCAAGCAAAAGCCTCTGCTTGTGGCTGCCTGTTAGCTCCTGAGTTCAGGTAATGGCACTGGAGAAAGTCCAAGGGGCCCTCAGAGGGTTGATAAGATAGTAAACGAGCAGGAGGCAGCTGCCCTGCAGCAGCTGCGTGTTGGAGCCATCAGCCACCTGCAGTGTTCGCTCACACGGTGATGCCAGCGCGGAGCGGGGCTGCCGCCGCGGCGCTCGGGGGGAGGTGCAGCAGGGATTGCTACGCTGGGAGCTCCCAGCGGCTCCAGCTGGATGCAGTAAGGAGGGCAGGAGGCCACAGGCGCCTCTCTGTGCCTGCCAGGGGAGTGTGCGGCCGGGCTGCCCGCTTTGGTAGCAGCTGGTGAGTGCCAGGGCCACGGAGGGAGCAACTGTGTGGCAAGGTGCCCGCACAGTCACCGCCACCTCAGCAAACCTGCGGAGGGCAAATTCCAGCCAGTTGCTGCAGTGCCAACTGTCTGCTCCTTCCCAGGAGATGGGGAGTAATGAGGCAGCTCATGTTCTGGGCCCCGTTCCCGCTCCTGCAGAAACCCGTGTGCTCTCAGCATGCCCGACTTGCTGTGTTTCCCTCACGGATGGCAGCAGGCAGGGGACACAGTCAGAGATACCCAGACGGGGGCTCATGCCCAGGCTCTTCCAGTAGAGTTTTGACCCCATGCGGATGCCCAGAGCCTTGGAGTGCATTGCTAAAACGTAGGAGCCAGTTGCTGCTCTCAGCTGCAACCTGGAGTGTTACACCGTGGCTTTCAGCAAACTGGCTGATTAAGAGGATGCCAAGTAGGAGGCAATTTTAGAGTGTGCAGAGATGTTGGGGAGGAGCTGGACTGTCCACATAAAACAACGACTGCTGAGGCAGCAAGTTAGAGAGTAAAGGTGCCCCTCCTGCCTCACGTGGTGCCTTTGCTGCACTTGCTAACCCTGGGGAGGGCTGTACAACACTGTGATCTTGTAAAGCCTCTTTTATTTCAGAAAAACACTCAGAAAATGTTAGTGCTGCTGCTTCTGCTCTCCGAGCTGCACAGCGTGGCTGGGGCTGTGTTTGTAGCCTGTCCCAACTGCCAGACAAACCTCCCTGGCTTAAGCTGCAGGACAGGAGGTTTGGTTTGTTGCCCTGGCCCTCGCGTGCGGGCCGGGCTCAGGCCGTGCACAGCCAGGGAAGGCGGCGCCGTTGGCGGGAGCAGACGGGGCAGGACCTCGCGCCGTTGCTCCTGCCCTCCTGAGGCACCGGGTCCCTCTGCAGAACGGGAGCCAACTGCGGAGATGCCCTTGTTTCAGGGGCAGCCAGCTCTGCCGTGAACAGATGTATTTTTACATAGACATTTGCTGCGTTTGCTGTAATTCCCCTTTGCTCCATCTTTCCTTTTCTCTAGCTACCGTATTTTTAGCTTCTAGTATTGGTTAAGGTTGCTCTGCGTTGATAAAAGTTGTTCTTTGCTCTCCTGACACTGACTGCTCCCCAGGCAGCCCTTTCCCTCTTTGCAGGAGCACTGAGATCCATGGCTGGTGCTTGCAGGAGTGACTGAGGCAGCGTCAAGCAGGACCTGCTCTCTGGCAGAGTTTCATAGCCCAGCAAAAAGGCAAATAGCCAGCTGAGCTCATTTATTCTGTGGCAGCATAACAGGGAAGCATCTAAAAGCAACACAGTTGAAAACTGACTGTGTTTATGGAAGGAGACAGAAACCTCCTTGGTGGGAAAGTCCTGAAAGATGCAGGAACCTGCTAACCAGCCAAGTCTCACGGTTGGTTCATGGACTTCATTCATTTGCAGCCTTCCACGGAAGACACCAGCTTATGAATCTGCAACCCTGAGTGCCACGAAGTGAAAAGCCCTCCAGTGCTTCTGCTGCATGGACCATGAACTTGGTTGTGTTTCTTCTACCTTGAGGAAGTGTAACCCTATTTCTGCCTTTTTTTTCTTTTTCCTCCTATCTTGCTGCAGAAACGGCAGATTTTGGTAACAGTCATAGAGATCTGCCTGCCGCTGCTGTTTGCTGCCATCCTGATCGCGCTTCGTCACCGCGTGCATTCCGTCAGCCACCCCAATGCCACCATCTACCCGCCGCAGTCGGTGGATGACCTGCCAGCCTTCTTCTACCACCGGCACGCGAGCAACCCCTGGGAGCTGGCGTACGTCCCCTCGGACAGCAGCGCCGTGAGGAGCATTGCCGAGGCGGTGGAGAAGGCTCTACCCATCAGCATTAAAGGTTGGCAGGGGCTGGACTCGCACCAGGGCATCTCTGAAGTCACATGGGCCTTTCTTATAGCTTCAAGTTCAACGCTGCACCTACAGCTTTGGTCACACAAGTGTGTTCCTGAATGGGGACCTGTGGTAGGATGTCCTAAGCTCCTTGGATGAAGCCTTTAAAGGATGTGAAATTCTCCCTAGATTAAGCATTGCTAGGGGCAGAGACCAGCATCTAACTTGAGCACTGGCTGACAGTGTTGGTGGCAGCACCTTTGGGTTTAGGGGCAGACTGACTGCTAAAATCACGAGTTCCCTTGAAACACAGATTTCTGCTCAGCAGGTAGCTCTGTCACCTGTTCTTATGAGCAACTTCCAGCACCCCTAACACATTTTTTAAAACAAAAAATGGGCATCCTCTTCTCTTCCATGTATCTGATGAATTCATATAGTCAGTCCGTTTTCCACGCCAGTAATTGTTAGAGTAACTGGAAATTCTCAGGCTAATTGTTATTAAGTTAAATTTTGAGGCTCTATTCACAGAATGCATTACTTCATCAGATCGTTACTTCATCACCTTGAGGCAGTGGTTTTGCTTCTGAAGTCTGCCCACCTTGGTTTTGATCTTTGTTACCTTTTTTTGTTGCAATTTCTATGTCAAAGTTGAAACATTGGCCATACAGTAGCTGAATAAAATGGCTGCTGCTTCCATGTAACAAAGTATTTGATACTTTTTTTTTTTAATGCTTTGTCTCCTTATTCCAAGGGGCAGAAAATACTAGGATTTTTTGTTTGTTTGTCTAAAAGATACCAAGATATATTCAAAAGATTGACCTGCTCTCAAGGAGGAGAAAAAAATCTGTCTCCCATGTTGGGTACAGCTACATCCCATGTAAATCTCCTGTGATCACTAATGACTGTTTCCAGTTCTGGCTGGAGCTCATCCCTCCTGTGTGGAAAGTCCCAAAACCACCTGACATTTGCAGTGATGGCTGCCTGGGTTTCCTCCTGCCCTGTGAAAAGATGTGTTCTGTGGAGTGCAGCTCCTGCAGGCTGCTCACTCTCTGCTTTTCCTTCCTCTGCAGCTCAAGGCTTCTCCTCGGAGAGGGAATTTGAGGAATACGTGAAGTTGGACAACCGCTCTGGCAACGTGCTGGCTGCTGTTGTGTTCAAGCACTCCTTCAATCACAGCAAGGCCCCCTTGCCCCTGCAGGTGAGCAGAGCTACTGGATGTTCAACTGCATCTCAGTGGTGAGGAGCTGGGGTTGGGTCCCAGCATCCTACAGTGGAAAAATGAGTGGTTTAACCTTGATGAGCCGCCACTGTGATGCCAAGAATTGCCCCTTTCTCACTAATCCGTGACGCACTTGTCCTTTCCGTGCTCCTTGCAGGTTGACTATGAGCTGCGCTTCAAGTACAGCCCGAGGAATGCGCCCCGGAGCGAGCAGACGGGCCTGAACCCCAACCTGGACCGGGACTGGCACACCAGCTACCTCTTCCCTCTCTTCCAGTTGCCTGGCCCCAGGGAGGCCAAGTTTGCAGATGGTGGAACACCAGGTGGGGGTTGGCTTGTATTCCACCATATGTCGTTTGGCAGTCAAAATCTTTAATCTTCTGTATAGTGACACATTGTATGTTATTCCCTGAGACTCAATTTAAATAAATATCCCATAAACCACAATTTTTAAGAAAATACTGGCCAATACCTGGCTTGTCTTACTGCAGACAGTTCCAGAAGTGAGGTTTTCCTCAATGTTTCCCTCTACCAAGTGCTGTCATCAGGTGGCAAGGGAGCTCACAAGGGCAGGGTACGGGCTTAAAAACACGGGGGATTTGTGAGGCCAAGGGTTGGCCATCTCTGCCAGTCTCTTGCTGACAGATAAGCAAGTTGTCCCTGTGCCCTTGGTGACCTGCAGTGTCACCCCATGAGCGGTGTGTGGATGCTGTGGCCTCTCTTCCCGTGCCTTTAGCTGGAGTAACTCCAGAGCGAGCTGCAGGTGCAGGGTGGCAGTCATCTTTCTAATGGCCTTATAAAATAAGGGAGAGCATCTGTCAGGAAAGGGTGCCCTTCTTGAAAGCAGATGGGTAAGAATGAGTTTAAAAAATACTGTTTTCTAATGCATAAAATTTTAAGCCAAATATGTGAAAAATGGGGTATATTCTTCCCCACAAAACCCTACTTCAGCTTTGCATACTCTCCTGTTTTACCCAAAAAAAAAAAAAGAGGCTGAATTTCATAGAAAAACTAATTTCAGTGATATTACTCGTGGTTAATGGTGACTGTAAGAATCACTTTTCTTACAAAAATAAAAACCATGCAGAACGAGGATTGCCATTTAAATCCACATTTGCTGTCAGCTCTTTATAACTGACGATTATGAGAGATTTAAATGCCTCTGATTTTCGTGCTTTCCAAGACCCTCTCTAGGTCTGCTGAAACAACTGGGAATATTTTGATGGTGACATTTGGTTTCCTTTTCTAAGGGCTTTTTTCTTCTTTTCTATTCTTCCCAAGCAAACCTTCCCTTAGAGGCTCCTCCTCTTCCTAAGAAGGTCTGCACTGGTCTTTTCTCTTTGTGACTTTGTCTCTATTGAGCACGCACCCATTTCTATCTCCTTGTGCTACTTTTTGCCATGCAGGATATATCCGGGAAGGCTTCCTGGCAGTGCAACATGCCGTGGACAGAGCCATCATACAGTATCACACCAATGCCAGCCTGCTGGAGAACATCACCGTGGTGGTGCAGCGCTTCCCCTACCCATCATACGTCAATGACCTCTTCCTTCTTGCCATCCAGAACCAGCTGCCCCTGCTGCTCATGCTCAGCTTCACCTATACCTCACTCAACATCGTCCGTGCCGTCGTGCATGAGAAAGAGAAGAAGCTGAAGGTAACATGAATCTTTCCTTCAGAAGAACCGGTTAGGAACAAAATCCCCATTAGGTTGGAGTGGACAAGCAGGATGTGGGGAGATGGGATGACAGGGGATTAGCAAACTCTAGGGAAGAATGTCGTTAATCTTGTTGCTGAAACCCAGCTCTGTCCTTCCTTGCTGTGTAGCCTTTTGCTTAGCAATGCTGTTAGATGGGAAGACTGGCATTTCTTTTGGACTGGAGGGTATTTTGAAAGGTAACTTCTTGAGAGGACAACCCGTGTGGATTCGAGAACTCGGTGTATGGGAAGGAGTTGTTCTGTCTTCTACATTTGGAAACCTGTGTTTCTAAATTGTGGTATGTGGGTGGCGAGGAGCTCAGCTGAGGTGGTGGTCACAACATCAGGCCTGAAGGTGCAGGGCTCAGTTCTCTCTGGGGTGTTTGACTGTCCTGCCCCCTGTGTAAAGGCTCCTCAGGGCCGTTGGTGCCAGGAGCTTCCTCCCTCCTCACCAGCGCCTAAGGGTTGCAGCCACTACATCCCTTTCACAACAGATGCCTGGACTTGCTCGCTGCCATGTGAGCTGCTCTGGGCCCCCTTGTCTGGGAAACGTGGGTGCAGCTCAGCTCTGGGTAACAGCTTGGCCTTCCCCCAGGAGTACATGCACATGATGGGCCTCAGCAACTGGCTGCACTGGAGCGCCTGGTTCCTCATGTTCTTCCTTTTCCTCCTGGTGTCCGTGTTTTTTGTCACAGTGCTCTTCTGTGTGAAGGTGAGTGTCTTTCCTCAGTCTCACATTGCACAGGTCAGTATTGTTGTGTTGGCTGGACATGGGGATCCCAAAACTTGGCTGGGGAGAAGGAAGACTATCCTCGTAGTTCAGGATTCCTCCTTCTTCCAGGTGCCTAATACAGAGAGCCTTCTTTGAGTCAAATCCTTTCTTAACTGGGTGGGCAGAGCTTAAGCTCTGTGCAAGATGAATGCACTTGGAGAGCACCCAGGAACTTGAATTATTCCTTCAGCCTGGGCCTCCTGCCACTGTTGGCTCTAGAGGGTTGAACCTCTACCCTGCTCCCAGCAAGGGGAGTGGGTGCTTTGCCAGCCTTTCACACTGCCTGTGTCAGCCAGCAGCAGGAGGAGGTTGGAGGGTTAGAGCAGGCAGGTGCAGGGGAGGTTTGGACATTCCCGGGCCTAACAGCAACCTCCTGAGAGCCTGTGAATCCTTGGAGAGATGCAGGCTCTCCTGCTTCTCTGTACCAGCACTGTGAGAAACAGAAGGCAGCAGTCAGGGTTGGAAAGCAAGATGTCCCCTGCCTCTTAGATCTGGTGTTACATGAGGGCAGCCCCCATTCCACATCGGGGCTGGTCTAGTGGGGCCTGGGTGTTCTCGGTCAACCTCTTGGTTTGTCCTCAACCCCTGGAGAACGTCAGCCCTCGGTGCCTGCATGGGCCTGCAGTTGTAGCCAGCTGACCAGCCAGTTGTGCCCAGTGTAACAGGCTTGTCTCGGCAGGTGAGCGAGCAGGGAGCAGTGCTCACCAACAGCGACCCCACGCTGGTGTTCACGTTCCTCGCCGTCTTCTCCATCTCCTCTATCTCCTTCAACTTCATGGTGAGCACCTTCTTCTCTAGAGGTGAGTGTCTTCTATATAAACCACGTGGGCTTTCGAGTTAGAGGCTCTCTATGGTGAAATGCTAGTGCTGTTCCAATTGGTAACAGGAAACTTGCAGACAGAGGAAGACACTTAGAATCTGTTTCCCTGTCCCCTGTGGGATTTACAGCTCCTGCCAAAAACCATGAGAGGAACCCACATGACACAGAGTTCCTTCTGGGCCTTGTGCCGATGGGCACGAGAACATTGTTTCTCTTGCCATTGCCCGTGCATGAACAGAGCAGGATGGTGTAAAACTTTTTTTGTATGATTTTGGCTGGAAGTGATTGCTGGAAATACGTTGCTCTGGTCCATCTCTCTCAAAGCAGGGCCAACTCCAAAGTTAGATGCGGTTGCCCTGTGTCTTGCATGGGATAACTTGTCTTGATGCAAACAGTGAGGTCCTTGCACTCCTCTTTGACTGTGTTTTATAGTAGTGCTTGTGAAATGGACATACATACTGTAATTGCTCAAACCAGATAGCTAGGATTCAGCAGCATATAGATTCAGCCATTAGAGATGTTTCCCTTCCCATTTTTCTCTGTCCTTGCAGCAAATGTTGCGGCTGCTGCTGGTGGGTTCCTGTACTTTTTCTCCTACATCCCCTACTTCTTCATCTCGCCTCGCTACGACCTGATGTCCCACAGCCAGAAGCTGGCATCCTGCCTCATCTCCAACGTGGCCATGGCCATGGGGGCCCAGCTCATTGGCATGTTTGAAGGAAAAGGTGAGCGAGGGCCTCTCATTCCTTACACTCACTGCAGCTGCTCAGCGGAAGGAGGGAGATCAGCCTGGCGTTGCGCACGGTTTGCTGGAAGCTGAAAGGCTTTGCCCCTTTTCTGTCTGCCTCTCGGCCTCCATTTCTCTGTGGTGGGTTGGAACTGGCTTATGTGCTGTCTGAAGGGTGTAAAGAAGTCAAAGTCACTTTATTCCTCTTAGCAAGAATGAGAGGACCGTGTTGCATGTTCCTGCAGGCCTTATCAGCTTTGACCCTTCAAACCCTTGTGTCTGGCAGCCAAAAAAATGGAATCTGGGCTGTGCAGGATGCTGTAGTTATTCACTTTGATTGCAAACTCATTTCTCTTCTAACAGATGGGAATTAATTGCATCCTCTCCTCTCCTTTCCTTTCCTTTTTTTTTTTTTTTTTTTTTTAATTTCCGTGTTAATGAAACTTTGCTGTTGGTTCCAGTAGTGGCCATGGTTTTGCAAAGTGATAGAAGTGAATAGGAGGCTGCAGTGGCAGGTCTCTCTGGAGAAGAGATTTGTTTCTTCTCAAGGCAGTTACAAAGAAGGTGAAGGAAGAAGCCTGACACCGTGTGCCAAGGATGGGCCTGGGGGCCTGGAGACCTCAGTAAAGTTCCTGTGGCATCTTTTCCCTCCATCTGTAAAACAGGGATTGTTCTAAATTTGCAAAGACGGTCTTGTAGCGATTCAGGTGTTTCACGAATTATGTTGTGGAGTTCACTGAGGCTTTTTGTGGGGGGGCAAGCAGCTCTTTTTCTTCCATGGAAGTCAGAAGGGGTTGTAGTAACTCAGGTAATGGGTAATGCTCAGTGCTTGATGTGGTGCAATGCCAAGAGATCTGGGTTTGCACAGAATCCGCGTGTGTTAGTTTTGCTTCAGTTCCAACCTTGCTGGACTGGGAACGTCCAGCGTCTCCATCCCAGGTCAGGACACTCGGGGAAGGCTCGTTAGCCCAGGCCCAGCGTGGTGCAGTGTCTGTGTGTGCAAAGCTCCTGGCAGATAAACCCCTGTCCTCTGTGCGTTTCAGGGACTGGCATTCAGTGGAGGGACCTCATGAAGCCGGTCAGCGTGGACGACAACTTTACCTTGGCCCAAGTGCTCGGGATGCTGCTGCTGGACTCAGCTCTCTACGGCTTGGTGGCCTGGTACGTGGAGGCCGTGTTCCCCGGCGAGTACGGTGTGCCGCAGCCCTGGTTCTTCCTCTTCACGGTGAGCACTGCTGCCCCGCGCGCACATCCCTTCCAGCAGGGAAGGGCTTTGGAACTCTCCTGAGCACTGAGATGCAAGTTCTCCTAGGTGGTTTGTGCCCTGCTCTCTCCACTGCAAGACATCACATGCTGGTGCCGGGATATGGGTTAGTTTTCAAACAAGCAAGTCTTTCACCCGTGGGCTGAGCTTGCACGTTGGAATGGCCGAGCAAAATGTGTCGTCTTTGGACAGTGTAACTGTGGTGGTTAACGTAGCTCAGCTCCCTGCTGACAATTCGTTAAGCCACAGTGACACAATCACCTTTAATCATGTGAATGTAGCCTTTGTGATCTGATTTGGATTTTTTTTTCCTTCTGCCCTGTTAATTCCCTGTCACTGTGTTATTTCCCTTTAGCATCTGACTGTATTGCAGCTAAACCAGGGCAGGACTTGGCACAGCAGAAATGCAGCGGTCCGCTTACCTGCCTCGTAAAGATACGCTGGTTAATAACTGATAACCAAAGAGAAATGGTGTTGCAGAGCCCTGGGAGGTGTTTGCGTGCAAGGAGGATGGAGGAGGGTGTCAGGGTGCCTGCACCTGGGGTTCTTTCTCTTTGCTTACTTGCTCTGTGCACATCCTTTTTCCACTCACACCCTCTCCAGCCACTCACTCTCTTGCCCTCTGCACTCTCAGCCCTCATACTGGTGTGGGCGCCCTCGGACTGTTGTGGGAAAGGAGAAGGAGGAAGAGGAAGACCCCGAGAAGGCCCTGAAGAGCCAGTACATTGAGGAAGAGCCTGCCGACCTGGTGTCAGGAATCAAAATAAAGCATCTTTCCAAGGTACAGACTCCCCAGTGCGGCATTGATACTAGTGCTGTCCCACACATGGTAAATGCAAGACTTGGGCCTTTGGATAAAGGTGTGTGCTGTTATTCCTGCCCTTTTGCTCCTTGGCTACCCAGGAGGCTGGAAACACAAGGAAAGACAAGAAATAGATCCATGTTGCTCCACAGAGGGACCCTCTGGCATGCAAGGAACCAGAGAGAGGGGTGTCTCTGGCTTCTCTGGCTTCTGGAAGAGGCCTCATTTTGGTGTGTCAGGCCGATGTGGACTCATTAGGTGAGGCAAGACTGTTTAATGCTGTTGCCACTAGGCCAGCTGGTCTTTTTTTCTTGCCCACAGAGCAGTGTGGGCACCCATTGCATCTTGAATGTTGTTTTTTCAGTCTTGCCTACGGCAGCTTCCACATAATCAAGCTGTCCTCTTCCCCCAGGCTGTGTTGCTTGGCTGTTGCAGTGGAGATGAGGCTCTTGCCCATAAGCAACTGCATTTGAATTTTCATCTGAAGTACTAGGTACTTGCCTGTGCCATGATGTCTGCATTTAACTTGTCGGGTACTGATGTCTAATGCCAGCCCCATGTGGTCACGACAGGATTTGATTGCCCTGTGGAAAGAAGCTGCTGCTGGAGAAGAGGCCGATCTGAGAGCACTTGCCTTGAAGGGGATATCAAATTGTTAACCTGATCTTGACAGGTCTTCAAAGTGGGGAACAAGACCAAAGAGGCAGTCAAGGACTTAACCGTGAACATGTACGAAGGGCAGATCACCGTCCTGTTGGGACACAATGGTGCTGGGAAGACCACTACGCTGTCTATGCTCACAGGTAGGAGCAGCGACCCGTCTTGGGGCTGGCACTTGGCAGCAAGGGAATCAGCTCGTAGCATCAGGCCCTTGGAATAGGACAGGACGGATGGCTCTCATGACAAAAGGGAGCTAATATCTCCCCTTTAAAGCAAGTGAAGCTGTAGGTGTTCTCTAAAATTGGGGAGTGGTTTTTGCTTTTCCCCAAAGCACCAGCATTTCACTGGGCTGTTAACCAAGAGTGTCTTGTCTCTGAGGAGCTTGTTGCTGCCTGGAGACAGGGGAGGGAGCTGGGGGTCCATGAATAACCCTGTGTGAGAGTGAGATCAGCTGGGCGGTGTCATCTGTGAGGGAGATCAGACTGCTCAGTCCGGAGGCCTGAAGCAAGATGTCCTCTTTAAGCATGTCAAAGAGCCCTACAAAGAGGAAGGATTAGCCCTGGGATGAGCAGCTGTGCACCCTAAGGCCATTGCGTGTTGCCTCTCTCAGGCCTGTACTCCCCAACAAGTGGGCAAGCTTACATCAACGGCTACGAGATCTCCCAGGACATGGTTCTGATCCGACAGAGCCTGGGCTTGTGCCCCCAGCACGACGTGCTCTTCGACAACATGACAGTGGAAGAACATCTCTACTTCTATTCAGGGGTGAGCCCAGAGCTTGACTGCAGCCTCAGGCTTCATTTCAGGACTTGTTGCTGTATCTCATCCATGCCTTTCACTGGAGTTAAAAAAAAAAAAAAAAAAAAAAAAAAAAAGTACCCAAAGTTGCTTTGCATGTAGTTCCTTGGGGTTGGGCTGGAGTTGAAGGAGGCTGGGAAAAGGCTGCAGATTAGGCAGAACAGTCCTTTCTCTCCCCTTCCTGTATCATCCTTAATGAGTTCCTTGTTCATCTGGGCAGAGGAGTGGAGTGATCTTGAGCATCATTGCTCTCGTAAGGGCTCTTTGCAGCAGATCCTTGTGTGCAGGGAAGGGGGGTCCCTCCATTGGGCAGGAGTTGGTTTCCATGTTCTTCTTTGCCTTCCTGACTAAATGCAGAAAGGTGTGGAGAGTGTGGGGGATTTTTGAGCTCCTGAGGGGTTGCTGAGAGGGTGAGTAGAGTCTTTGGTTGGGACATCGTTACCCCTGCAGGTAAACCTGACCCTTCCTTCTTCTTGGCTTCCAGCTGAAGGGCTACCCATCTTCCAAGTGCCCGGAGGAGATCAACCACATACTGAGGATCCTGAACCTGGAGGACAAGCGCCGCTGCCTGACGAAGGCTCTCTCTGGCGGCATGAAGCGCAAGCTCTCCATTGGCATTGCACTCATCGGGGACTCCAAGGCAAGTACGATTTGAACCTTTTTGCCCAAGAAGAGTGCCAAGGCCTTTCTTCTCATGGCTGCTTGGGCAGCTGCTCTGCCGAAGAGGATCATCCTGTGCATGGTAGGAGCTCAAGGCTCCCTCTGAGTCCTTGCGCTGCTGCCGGTCCTCTCCCAGCCCCCTCTCAAGCAGCGCCCATCTCCTGCGTGCAGGTGGTGATGCTGGATGAGCCAACGTCAGGGATGGACCCAGCTTCCCGCAGGGCCACATGGGACCTCCTGCAGCAGCAGAGGAGCAACCGGACCATCCTGCTGACCACCCACTTCATGGACGAGGCTGACCTGTTGGGGGACCGCATAGTCATCATGGCCAAGGGCGAGCTGCAGTGCTGTGGCTCCTCTCTCTTCCTCAAGCGTAAATATGGTAAGGGAGGAGCAGACAGGCCATGCCAGAGCAAGGGGAAGGGCCCCGGACCTGATCTGATAGGAGTGCCTGTCCTCTTCTTGCCATGGTGTAGTGTGGGAGAGGGTTATAGAGCAGGGAAGGACACCCACTACCCCATGTCTGTTCACTGTTTCTCTCCTTGATGATACTCTCCTTTCTTTCAGTGATTCGTACCCACACTCTCTCCTCACAGCCATGTAGCTTTGAGTTCTCAAAGATGACTGATGCCAAGAAGGCCTTGTTTCTTGGCTCACCTTCTGCCCTTCCTACTAGCTTTTTCACCATGTCTGGAGCTCAGGCACAGCTAGCGATGCCCTGTGAAGCCTTTACCAGTCTCTGTCTTCTGCTCTCTGCCCCAGGGCAGGCCTGCCCTAGATTAGACTGGTATTCACACTTCTCTCCCTTCTCTTGTGGGTCTGCCCAGGGGCAGGATATCACATGGTGATGGTGAAAGAGCCGTATTGTAGCCTGGGGGAGATCTCCCGCCTCATCTGTCAGTACGTGCCCAACGCCACCATGGAGAGCAATGCCGGGGCAGAGCTGTCCTTCATCCTGCCCAAAGAGAGCACACACAGGTAACAGCACTGCGTCCTGCCTCCCCTCACCGAGGGATCCCATCATCCACGCAGCACGGCCCCGAGCTGGGGCAGTCGCAGACTTGCTGGAAATGAGAGTTTGGTCTCTGTGTCTTCTGGGAAGCCACAGGAGGAAGTGCGACCCCGGGGTTAAAGTGCTTGTCTTGGAGCCCTGGGTCTAGTTCCTTCCACAGTATCTTCCTCTCTGTCTGCTGTTGCTGTAGCTACTAACTGTTATGGTGTAGAGGGTAGACCATATAAGCAAAAAAGGTCTTTGGTTCCTCTTCAGACAAGGAAGGGCTGGTTTGGAGGTATTATCAGAGTGCACTGTAAGAGCCAAATAACAACCCCTTGCAAGCCTGTCATGTTACACTGTAAGAGCCCTTGCAACACTGTAACAACCCCTTGCAAGCCTGTCATGTTCACGCTGCCTCGGAGTGCCAATTGGAATACCGATTTCCTTGAAGGAGCTGCGACGATGAGAGGAAAGCCTCGGAGTGTTTACCTGCCAACTGGAATACCGATTTTCTTGAAGGAGCTGCGACGATGAGAGGAAGGAGTCCTTGGAGGGAAGATCTGTGATGCCACCCGAGCAGAGAACAGGGCCTTTCGCAGCTCCAGAGGGGCAGGGACACAGAGCTGCAATGTTACCTTCCCGTTCACTGGCCTGCACAGCTGTGACCCTGTTCTCCTCCACGCAGATATACAGCCTAGCTTGGGTCTCAGGAGTCTGCTGAAGAGGTGCTAGGGTCTGGTAGCAGAGATGTCCCACCGGCCCCTAGGTGTGCCCCTGATTTACAAGACTGTGTCAGAGATGTTTGGAGGCCCTTCAGTGAACTGAGACCTGGGCCAAAGTGTTCACACAGGGCCCAGAGAGGCTGAGAGCATCAGGCCTCTGGACAGGGATGTGATATGAGTAGCTGAGGCTCCCTGTGGCAAGAGAAAGCAGCAAGGGAGTACCCAAGTACCCTCTCTCATCTCTACCCGTCCCTGAAATCCCAGGCATGGGGGTTTGGCACACTCTGATCTGAAGCTTTGTCCACTGTCCATTAAACACAGGGGACGCTGTTTTTCCAGCACCCCAAAGTAGACCAGAGCTCTGCCTGGTGGAGCTCTTGGAAGAACGGATAAGCGGCAGCATCTCACACCTCGCTTGTCCTTGCAGGTTTGAGGCACTCTTCACAGAGCTGGAGCAGAAGCAGGAAGAGTTGGGCATTGCCAGCTATGGTGCCTCTGTCACCACCATGGAGGAGGTTTTTCTGAGGTGAGAAGCCAGTGGGCAAGGAGGGAGGCTGAGCTCCTTCTGCAAGGGGCTGAGCAGAAGAACCATTGCAGCCCAACTCGCAGGACGTGGAGTGCCCAAGTGTGGCATTGTGGCACCTCGGTCTGAATCCCTGAGCCCCCAGTGCCCCGTCTCTCCGGGGAGCTGTGGTCAAGGTCCTTCTAGGGCTAACTGTGGAGTGGGACCTGCAGCACAGGAACATTTCAGGCAGACCCAAGTTCTCTCCTACCAAAGCTTTCCAGAGGGTAACAGGACCTGAGATCAGAACAGCTTGAGGACAAGGGTGGCTCTTGTCTCTGTCTTGACTCTCTGAGAAGGAAGGTTGGAAGAGTTGGCCTGATACAGGCAGGTTGTTCTAGGGCTCCCTGAGGCATGTCTGGGTTTTGTCTCTGGGGTTTGGCTTCTGTAGCTCAGAACTGCTCAATCCTGTCCAGGTTCATGCTTCATCATCTGCTTTCCCTTCTGGTGGCAGGGTTGGGAAGCTGGTGGATTCCAGCATGGATATCCAGGCTATCCAGCTCCCTGCTCTCCAGTACCAGCATGAGAGACGCTCCAATGACTGGGCCATGGATGACTCCAGCAGCCTGAGTGGAATGACAGATATGACGGACGACAGTGGGGCTCTCATTACAGAGGACTGCTCCAGCATCAAACTCAACACAGGGGTGAGTGCTGTGGGGTATCAGAGCGCAGGGAAGAGCTCATGAAAGGGAACTCTGCAGGGAGCTACAGGACAGAGCTTGCCCTAGGCAAGTCTCTCTGCTTATTATTTGTAGGTTATTGAGGGAGAAGTGAGGAGCTGCCCAGCTGTACAGGGAGCCTTGTTGCAGTAATCCTATTTGGGATCCTCAAATGCTCAGAAGGGGGATTTAGGTAAAGGTCACATCTCAAGCTGCTTTTAGATGCCAAAGTAAGAGCATCCTTGAGAAAGTTGTGCATTCTGAGCTGCTGCCCTCCTGCTCTGAAGTCGAGTCCACCTCGCTAATCCCTTTCAGAGCTTCTCTGGAGCGCAGGCTGCCAGGAGAGCTTGCGGGCCAAATGCAGGGAGGCCGGAGGGGTCAGGGTGTTGGGCCTATGGGCTTGGTCCCTCCAGAAACTGCGGGGCTGTGGGACTGGTGGGGTTGGCTGCCACTGGCAGGTCCTGAGCCTGACCTCTGCCTTCCTCCGCCCTCCCAGTTCTACCTGTGCTGCCAGCAGTTCTACGCCATGTTCATGAAGAGAGCCATGTACAGCTGGCGCAACTGGAAGATGGTGGCAGCCCAGTTCCTTGTGCCTCTGGTTTTCACTGCCTTTGCCCTCATTGTTGCCAAGACCTTCCCAGGACCCAGGGACTCCTCCCTGCTGAGGCTGATGCTGGAGCCCTACGGCCAGACTATTGTGCCTTTCTCTGTCTCAGCTACCTCGGGGCTGTCGCAGAGGTTAGCCGAGCAGTATGTCGAGCTGCTGGATTCCCAGCACCAGTCGCCGCTGGAGGTGCTAGGTAAGGATTCCTGGAGCATAAGTGGAGCAGATGGTGCAGGGAGAAGTGTACAAGAGCCGTGGTGTTTTTCCTGCTGGGGCAGCAGTGTGGGAATGCATGCAGGGAGGCTTAGCTCCCAGCTGCGATATATCCAACGTAACCTGTCCTCTTCACACAGGAGTGTCCTGCAATTAGCTCCTACCCCACCTCACCCTAAGCAATTCTATATTCTCTAAAACCCTGTGGTCCTTGTCAGGTCTTGTGGCCCTTGTTAGGACTAGAGCGGGCTCAGAATCCTTCTGCTGTTGGCCTTAGGTGTCTGCTCTTTATTTGCTGGAGTCTGGTGTTTGCAGGCGGCCTGGAGCAGTACCTCATCTCGCGAGCGTCCGAGGAAGGGGGAGCCTTCAACGAGCACTACATCGCCGCTGCCTCTTTCGAGGCCTTTGGAAACCACACGGTGGTCACCGCGCTGTTCAACAACCAGGCGTACCACTCCCCTGCCACCGCGCTCATGCTGGCCGACAACGCCGTCTTCCGCGTGCTGGCGGGCCCCAATGCGTCCATCACGGTCACCAACTACCCGCAGCCCCGCAACATCACCGAGAAGGCCAAGGACCAGCTCATGGAGTATGTCCCATCTCACAGTGCTCCCTTCCTGCATGGGCTCACAACCTCCATCGGTGCAAATTGGCTCACTGTACTCAGTTGTACTAGCATCAGTAGAGAAGCCAGCCTGGAGTTTCTCACACCTAAATGTAGCTGTGGTTATACTTAGGAGGTCAGGAGAGCAAAGCTGTGTAGCTGACTGAGCTGCCTGAGCCTGGCAGCCACTTAAGCCAACACAAGTACCTCAGTGGCTGAGTATTTGCCTTTACATACAGCCTGTGGTTAGAAGTACTTTTCCCCATGGATTCTCACTGCCCACTTCTCCACTTGGGATCAGAGGAAACGGCGCAGCTGTACAAATTGGGAAATGCTGCATCCAGGGACTCTGATTCTCACCTGCACAAGAGCAGTTGTGTGTGACCTTGCAAAAGCAGGGTGAAGATTTGTGGTGTGCTGGGTGGGCTGTACTTCAGGGCTTTACTGAGATATGCTTGTATTTTGGGGCATTTCTTGTGCATGCTGGTTTCATGGGTGAGTGTTGTCTTCACGAGAGCTGATCATGATGCAGGCAGAGCTGCTCTGACCCTTCTTGATCCCCTCATGCAGTGCTCGTCTTCCTGTCCTCATATTTCCCCAGTGCTGAACCACCCAGGCACTGGTATGGCATCTTAGGATGGCAGGTTGACACCCCAGGCTGGGTGTTGTGAGGAAGTCCCAAGGGAACACAGGGTGCTTGCTGAAGCTACTGGGACCTGCCAGGGCTGAGCAGGGCTCAGGATTCAGCCTCTGCTGCAGATTCATGACCAGGAAGGATGACAGGGCGCTGTCTGTAGCTGGTTGGGCCCTTGAGTTGCAGGGAACCCAGATGTTGTTGGTACCAACACCTATTCCTGAAGCATTGCGTGGGTGCATTGTCCTCATGCAGCCTCAGGGTTGGTCTGTTGGACTCTCCTTGTTTTGACCAGCCCTGCTGCTCTCCCCGCAGAGGCCAGACGGGGTTCGCCATCGCCATCAACCTGCTCTATGGCATGGCTTCGCTCGCCAGCACCTTCGCGCTCCTCCTGGTCAGCGAGCGGGCCATCAAAGCCAAGCACGTCCAGTTCGTCAGTGGGGTCTACGTGGTCAACTTCTGGCTCTCTGCCCTGCTCTGGGACATCATCAACTTCCTCATCCCTTGTGCTCTCATGCTGGTAAGTCAGCAGTGATGCTCTCCTGTCATACCCTCTAAAAGGTCCCTGCCATCACAGTGAAACCCATGTTGCTGACAGGAGGTTGCTGGGGACTCCCAGACTGGCACTGGGTGCTCTGCATGGCTAGGCTCCCTGACCAGCTCTATTCTGTAGCCAAGAGAGGTTTCAACTCCTTCAGTGCTCTCAGCATTTCCTTTGCCTCTGCCTTTCCTTGTGCGAACCCATGCAATTTGCTTGAGCTGTTCTTCCCCTGAGCTTGGCCTCTGTGTGTTAGTGTGGTGTGTCTGATCTTCTGGGAGAGCTGGGATGGGTGTGGATGGAGGGGAAAGGATGAGACCACCTGGCTCTGGCACTGTCTCTGTTATTATAAAGAATCAGAGAGAGGGCAGAAGCACTAGAACATTGAGTAGGTAGGAGCCTGGTGAGAAAATTCCCAGGGGTCAGATTTGCCCCTTTCCATCCTAATATGCAGGAGCTTCCCCTGGAGACAGGTACAGGCTGCTGGTGTGGCTAGTGGGAAGGGCAGCACAGTGCCTGCTGCCTGGGCTGTTCAGGCAAGGGTGTCACTGAGAGTCAAGACTAACACCTCTCATAGGACTAACTCTCCTCATACTGTGCCCAGGTGATCTTCCAGGCCTTTGATGTGCAAGCCTTCACTCAAGACAGCCACCTCGTGGACGTGATGCTGATCTTCCTCCTTTATGGCTGGGCGATTATCCCCCTTATGTACCTCCTCAGCTTCTTCTTCTCGGTAGCGGCCACCGCCTACACGCGTCTCACCATCTTCAACATCCTCTCGGGCACGGCCACTTTCCTAGCAGTCACCATCATGAGCATTCCAGGTGGGTCCTTCTTGCTTGGCCAGCACTGCACCCTCTCTTCACCAAAAAGATCCAGCCACACACCCAGAGGTAAAAAGAAAAAAGAAAAAAAAAGGGGGTGACAGCCCAGCCTCATGTAGTCAGCATGACAGAACTTGCACAGATTCTCCTTCTGAATTTTGATGTATTGAGATCTTTCTTTATAAACAGTTAAATCTGTTCTGTTGATCCTCATACCCTCCTTTTCTTCAGAACTGGGCTTGGTGGATCTCTCCAGAACCCTGGATAAAGTCTTTCTCATCTTACCCAATTACTGCTTGGGCCAGTGCATCAGCGACTTCTACCAGAACTATGAGTTCATTCAGTTTTGCACATCCTCTGTCGAAGCGATCTTCATCTGCAAGGCGTTCAGTGAGTTTGCTTGTCCTTCCTGCCCAGTGTTGGCCATTCCACTGTGGCCGTGCCCTCACTGAGGGGTCTCTGTTTTGGGGGCCTGGTGGGTTTGGACTGCTGAGGGAATTTGAAGTAGCTGCCCTGGGTCTGACACAGCTACAGGTTTGGCTGTGCAAGGGCGGATGAGATGTGCTTTGTGTTTTCTGTGTAGTGCTGGAGGAGCAGGGCTGGGGCTAGGGAGGACCAAACCCCCTGACAATATCTTGATCTGTCATGTGTGAGTGCCTAAGTCCCCAGCCAGGACCTGGGCAGGAGGTGTCTCAGGAACTGGGACGCTCCAGTATCGCTGGGCCTCCAGCTCTGCCTGGGCAGTAGCTTCAGGTACCATTTTAAAGGAAAAAAATGGGCAGCATTTGTGGCTAATGCTCTCTCCCTGGCCAGATCCTGTTAGGGAGCACTTTCCCTGCTGACCATTTTGGAAGGAAATGTGGCCTTGGGAAAGTTTCACAGACTAGTGAAGAAATACCCGTGGTGATCTGAGTCCCAAAACCTGAAAGAATGAAATGGTCTCCTCTGTGAATCTCCTCTGGGCATCTTCTGACAGTGCCAGATCCCCTCTGGGGCCCGTATCCTCTTGTGGGAGGGCTTAGGAGGAGCTGGGTGCAGGGATCCCAGGGCCTGAGCAGTGTGGGCTGGGATGCAGATGATACTGGCAAAGCTGAGGGCACCCAACTCTCTCTGGAGCAATCCCAGAATGCGGATTAATCCAAAATTGATTTTATTTTATCCCCACTCCAGATATCAGTTATCAGATGAACTACTTTTCCTGGGAGACACCTGGGATTGGACGATACCTGACATCCTTGACCATCCAGGGTTTCTCTTTCCTCTTCCTCCTTTTCCTCATTGAGACAAGCCTTCTCTGGCGATTAAAAACTTTGATCTGTGGCATCTGCAGGCGGAGAAAATGGGTGAGCTGAAGCATATGGCAGGGAGAAGTAGGCACCCTCGTGTCAAATCAGGTCCAGATGTTGCTGTGAACTAAATTCCTAAGGTCCCTGGAGTCACCCTGGTCGCACGGTCTGGGCTGCAATTCCCTCTCTTTAGGGACTCTCTTTTTAGTCTGTCTTTTTAGGACTTGGCACAGACAGTACCGTTAGGAACAGCTAGAGCTCCCAAACCCCATAGACTATGTGCCTTTGACTTAAACCATCGTTGTGGGAGAGCACCCATTGAACGTGGTGCTTACAGGGATGGGTCATTTGAGTATGTGGGGTGGCAAGTGGACTGGGACGCCCCTTGAGGTAGTTGACCGAAGGAGCATGTCCCTCGTGGGTTGGCAGGGCTGGTCCCCGGTCAGTCTGGAGAAACCTGTTTGTCCCACAGCAGCAAGGTAGCAAAGCGTCGTCTTCCCGGTGTTCCAGGTGGCGCTCCTGAACAGGGTGCCTGTGCTGCCAGAAGACCGCGATGTAGCTGATGAGAGGAAGAAGGTTTTGGAGTCACCACCAGAGCTGCTGTCATCACTGAGCAGCCCCTTGGTCATCAAAGAGCTCACTAAGGTGAGGAGAGAGCGTGGATCTCCTGGGCATCTTGCTCTGAGCAGGCACACGATCTGCACAGGGTGGCAGTGCTGGTGTCCTGCAATGGCAGAGCCACGCTTTGCTCTCTGCAGGTCTATGACAGTCGGGAGTCCCTGCTGGCAGTGGACAGGATCTCCTTGGCAGTCGGCAAAGGTGAATGTTTTGGCCTCCTTGGCTTCAACGGAGCAGGCAAAACCACCACCTTCAAGATGCTGACTGGCGACGAGAGCATCACGTCAGGTGACGCTTTTGTGGACGGCCACAGCATTCTGGCCAACATCAAAAAGGTACTGCAGGCTGCAGGCGTGGAGGGCGAAGCCACCAGCAGCCCTGCTTCTTGCTGGGCTGTCCAGTGTCTGTCACCTTGCCAGTGCCTCCACAGGGGGCATGGTGGGTGCAACACTGTAGGGACCTTGTGCGCTTGTTTGAGCCCTCTGACCTGTTCATCTGGTCATCTGGAAGCAGTCTCTCCTCAGCTGGGATGGCACATAAGAAATGAGTGGAAGTCAAACCTTGAAAGGGTGGCACAACCTCCCTCAAAAGGGTTTAGCTCAGTAATTGGTTGTGTGGAAATGTGAGTTAGAGCTCACTACCAGGTGACAGTCTCTGTAAAACAAGCAGGGGAAATATTTCTGTGCTTCTGCTAGAGCTCTCCTTGCTGTGAGTCGCCCATTCCCTTTGGCAAAGCAAGAGATGAGTCACAAACTGAGCACTTCAAAGTATGGGGTAGTTTTTTAGTTCAATCCCTCAATACATCTAAGTATGTCAGCCCTAGGCAATGTCAGGCATTGAGAACAGGGAGAAGAACAAGCTGAAAGTCTGATCCTGTTAACATCCTTCCTTGGCATCTTCTGTTGGGTTCTTGTCTCCAGAGGAAGCCAGGATATGGGAAAGGTACAGGCAGCAGGGAAGGTGCTCCATAGCACCAGTCTTTCCCAGACAAGCTTATTGAAGGACTGGTTTCTTCTTTTGCTTGCTAGGTTTCTAGTTCTTCATTTCTCCTGAAAGTCTGAACCACCCGACATGACCCTCACAGCAAGGAATCAATTTAGGTGGCAAAGCATGAGCAGTATGTGAGGCCGTCTATTTCCTTCCCCAGCTGCGCTGTGGGTGCCCATACCCTACTCTTACTTGCTGCTCCAGCAGCTCGAAGAAAATCCCATTCGTTTTGAGTGCAGTTTCACAGTTGTAGTTCAATCCCCGTTACTCTGAGCAGAAAGAATCAGGAACTTCACTTTTTACCTTGTGCAGATGTGGAAAACACTCTGTGGGTGCTAAGGCAAGCCCATGAACCCACCATCCTCCTAGGGTGGAGATCTCCTCGCAGAAACCTGCGTACGAGCTAATCCCCCTTGGGTTCCTCCTGCCCCCAGGTGCAGCAGCGCATTGGCTACTGCCCGCAGTTCGATGCCCTCCTGGAGCACATGACGGGCCGCGAGACCCTGGGCATGTACGCGCGGCTGCGGGGCATCCCGGAGCGCTACATCGGCAGCTGCGTAGAGAACATGCTGAGGGGGCTGCTCTTGGAGCCCCACGCCGACAAGCTAGTGAGGACCTACAGGTGAGCGGGGTATCCCCAGCACGGCCTCGCGTGGATGCACCTCACCTCTGGGGCTGGTGGGCACTGCGGGTCATCGTGCGTCGCAGCTGGTCCAGGGCTCTGGCTGCCCTTCGTTGTGCGTGGCTTCCCCTGTGCTACTTCAGGCCTATTTCTCTCCCCGTTCCTGTTTCCTTCCACAGTGGTGGTAACAAGCGGAAGCTGAGTGCTGGCATCGCTCTCATCGGGGGCCCCCCCGTGATCTTCCTGGATGAGCCCTCGACTGGCATGGACCCCGTGGCCCGGCGTTTGCTCTGGGATGCTGTGACGCGGACACGGGAGTGTGGCAAATCCATCATTTTCACTTCCCACAGGTGACAATTTCCTGGATGGATCTTGGTCTCTTAGATTGGGAGCGGACAGGAGGGCGTTGGGACAAGGGGATGGGGCCCATCTCCAGAGTCTGGGATGAGCTGTGGTGATAGAGCCTGATGTGGATGGAGCTGAGCAGCAGGTGGCTTTACCCCGATCTCCCTCCTTGAAGGTAGCAGAAAACCTAGCAAGGAGAGATTCTACCTCCACCTCCCAGAAGCTTCTGCTGTTGCCCAGCCACAGATGATCAGAGCTGGGACATCTCAGTGCTGCCTCGGTGCTGAACGACTCCTCTTCTGTCTTGTAGCATGGAAGAATGCGAGGCCTTGTGCACCCGCCTGGCCATCATGGTGAACGGGCAGTTCAAATGCTTGGGCAGCCCCCAGCACTTGAAAAGCAAGTTCGGCAGCGGCTACACGCTGCTGGCCAAGACGCGGAGCGATGAGGAGGGCGAGCTGCTGGCCTTCAAGGCCTTTGTGGAGAAGACTTTCCCAGGTACCGTGAGCTGCCGAGCTGGCTGCCCTCCACACAAGGGCAGATGCTGTTTGTAGGTGCCAGGCAGTTTCCTAACGTGGAGCCTCTTTCTGCTCCTTTCTCCCAGGTAGTGTTCTGAAACATGAACACCAGGGCATGGTGCATTATCACCTGACCAACAAGAACCTGAGCTGGGCACAGGTAAGGACATGCTGAGCACATGCCAACCTGACCCCATGCTCCTCCCATTTGCAGGGGAAAGGTGGTGTTGGAGGGGCACATGTTTTCCTGCCTCTTCAATTGCTGTTCGTGCTGGGCTGAGCCGAGCCTCCCCCTTCATGCTAAGCTCATCTTCCTTTTCCTCCAGACTCACTCTGTCTGGAATGGATATGATTTTTAAAAAGGGAAACTCCTGACAAGGTAGCTTTCTGCCTGACCTTTTACCATATTCTGGCCCGAACAGGTCACTCGCATCTGTGGCTAGTGAGGAAGCACTGTGTGTGCTTCCAGGACCACTTCTGTCCCCAGCCTTTCAGAGCTGCTGCCACAGAGAGAGCACAGCCTCTCTTGGGACAAGCAGTGCTTTAGGTGTTTGTTCTCAAAATATTTCTTGAAAAGTTGGCAGCAGAAGGGCACTGGAAGGGGTCTGTTTGGTAGGCCAATCCTTTCCCCCTCATCTTCATGCCAGCAACATTGCACTTGCTCCTGTGAGCTAGCACAGGCAGTGGATCTTGTGACACCAACCAGAACATGTGGAGTTTGAGCCTCTCTGCTTCCTGCTGCTGCCTTTTGGCCTGAGGAAGCTGCTTAAATCCTGGGTCTGGGTGCTTGGGCACCTTACACTGCCATCTGTGCTGTCCCGTCCTGGGTGACAGCCCAGCAGGGCTCAGCAGTGTTGCCTGTGCAGCTTACGAGTCTTGCTGTAAATTGGGTAAACCCAGCTGAGGTTCAATTCCCAGCCTGGGGCGGCTCTTGCTGCTCTGAGCCTTCATTTGGCAAAGGCTGATGCTTGAACTTGTTCAGTGTCGACCCACTGCGGTTCTCCCTATGCTGGAGGGAGTATTTTGCAATAACCAGAAGCGCTCTGACATCCCTTGCAGGTCTTTGGGGCCTTGGAGAAAGCCAAAGAGAAGTATCACTTAGAAGACTATTCGGTTAGCCAGATATCCCTGGAGCAAGTCTTCATGAGTTTCACTCGCTTCCAGCACTACACAGAGGACCGAGGGAAATGAACCCACTGGTGCCCTTCTTCATGAACTGGCCCTGCTGCCTATACATACTATATAGAGAGACTTTAATTTATATATCAGCGTGTGTCTTAAATAATGTATAAATGTAAGAAAATTTTCCCTGAGGGCAGGGGAGGATAGAATCACCTTCTGCTCTCGGGCTACGGGGGTCACAAGTGGAGTGTGTGTCACGCAGCCGCTGCGGCGCGCGCGTGTGTGTATATGTGTGTGTGCCTGTGTGTGCAGGTGACACTTCACTCTTCAACTTCCATTCCCAGCTACAGCAAAAAAAATCCCAAAAAAAAAAAAAAAAAAAAAGCAGCAAGGCAGGGCAGATGGATGGAGAAAGGGCATTGTGGATTTAGCTCCATCCTGGAATCCCGACGTGCCTGGCAGACGGGTAGGACTCCAGTGCTGTTGGGTTCCGCTTGCTGAGGCGGCTAGTTGGAAGGGAGGTTGCTGCCCTGACGCCACATGTTTCCCACCCTGCCTGAAAGTCATGTGCATCAGGATGCTGCTTTATGGTCTTCACACGCATGTCAAATTATATTCTGCTAGGTGGTTTGCTTGTGATTTAACAGGATGCTGTTAAATAGCTTAGATCTAAAATGGTAACTGGGTTATTTTGGATGCATTGAGGTTGTCCTCTTAGAAGCACTTCCAGTCTAGATGGAGGGGACACGCAGGAACAGCCTCGGGTTTTCCCCCTCCAGCAGGTTTTCCGTCCGTTCCGTTAGCAGCGCAAGCCAGGCGCGCACTCCGTCTCTCCTTAGCCTCCTGGAAAGATGTGCCCTGCTGCCTACTTGGCCCTCGCCCAGCTCTGCTGCACGTCGCTGCGGGCAGCAGCTGTGAGCGCGGCGAGGAGCAGCCGGCTGCTCCGTGCAGAGGCCG